ATACCCTACATTTTGAACAGCCCCCACACCCATTTCAACATCTGGTTTTATCCAATAGTCTGTTGTGCCATCCTCAATCAAAAATGAGTCTAATACATGATATTTTTTTTTCTCTCATTTTAATGAGCTCTGACTTGGTGCTAAGGAGGAACGGCAAGGTTTTTCTGGTACGGGGATCCGAGCTCCATTGCTCCAGGAGCGGTACACTCCAAAATTTCCGATCCCCTATACCACATTAGAAGCGAAGATCGCTGTCTGGATATAATGGAAGATCCTACAATTCCGCGGCAAAGAATCCTTAAGGTGCGTATGGCCTCTGATAATTGGAGAGTATCTTGCGATCACCCGGCAAAGGCGCACTATAGACTAGTACACTATAAGTGGGGGCTCTAAGAGTAGAACTTCAGTGTACAAAACCTACCTCTACATTTTCAAAGTAGTTTCTGCTGAGTTAAATTCCCGTAAGATATTATGCTAATTGAGATGCAATGACTGAAATTGTTATTACCCAGCGTTAATGCTGGCGCAAGCCAAGCTCCACTCTTCCACCCCACTCCCTCCGCAACCTTTACTCAGGTGAAAAAGGAGGAGCAATATCCGCTAAAATATATTCAGCTATTTTGCCTCCTATTGAGGGGTTATATCCCCTCGTCTAAATGGGAGTCGTAGATTAAATGTAGCATTAAATGGAGACCAGTCCAAGACAGTACTTTCCCGGCTGACGAGGTACCTCGCAAACCCCGCAATAGCCCCGAACGGAAGATGCGATCCTCCCGGCTAAAGAGGCTATCCCTAAATCTTCAAGCACGTACTCGGTATGATCGAGTGGAACCAGGAACTCGCTGCCTAGATATACCATCCTCATCCCCTTTGAGAGAGTTAGGGGTGAAACTACATAAAACACCTCACAAGAGCTAACCAGAACATCCACATAGGTATCAATCTTCACATAACTATCAATCTTCACATAACTAAGCTTTCCTACCTCAGCACTAGTCCCATACCAAAGAAATTTTTTCTAGTGCTTGATTAATATCTTCCCACATTTTGATAAATGAATCAATCTGTGGGCTCCTTCTCCCAACGGCTGCCTTTAGAACTTTGTAGACCCTAACTGCCGGTAGACGGCTCGTTGCTATACGCTCTACTTGTATGATAGAAACATACACACAAGGTCCACCCCTGCCCCCCGCTCCCAATTTGGATCTCCCCCTGCAAAATTTTGTCATAATGCAGCCGAATAGAGCCCAGAAGACCAGAACTAACCCAATCTCGTAGGTTTCCGAGCAGGGAGTACTAGGCAATTAGAAAAGTTCGTCTACTAGGCCAAATCCCAACAACACCATCCCTCCCTCTACTAGAGATCCTATAATATCGATAACCCGGTTCTCAAACTTGCCGGCAACCGTATCGCGACCCCCGAATTCTCCTAAGTAGCCGAAGAGTGCATACTTTTTCAGGCAGTTAGGCTCATTCCCCAACCTAAACCTGATATCAGTGGTCAGCTAATCCACTATGCTACTTTGAGCTCTAAGCATTAAAGAAAAGTGGATAATATTATGATAGTATAAACTTTCTTATATAATCCAACATCCACCTTAAATACCCTAAATGAGCATATCCCGCGAGGGGCTTCTCATGTTTTTTAAGTTGTGTAAATTAATGTGTGTTCCGCTGTAAACGCACGACATACTGGTGGTGCACCGAATTCAGGACTCTAGCTTAAGCCTTCTACACCATGATCCGGAAAAAATGTACCGTATACCCCAGTGTATATTGCAAAAAGCTTAGCCTGTTTCCATACAGATTAAGAGACATTATATCATATGGGAGTCTATACACTGTTGCGCCAAGATGGTGAAGGTCTGAGTAGAGATTATACAAGCCTCAAGGGTTTTACTGCTTCATCGGTGTTGAATTACCCATCGTGCATGCAGTTAACTGGTTCGCTGATAGATAAAATGCACTTATGGGGCATAATTTTTAGGTTCCCCTCTAGCCTCGCCACCCGCCGCCATAGGGTATCAGGTATGCGAACCTATATTTTCTTTCTTTCGCACTATATGCAACTCGGGACATGGTACTTCGCCGGAGGTCCATGAGAACCCTGTATTTCTGTGGAGCACGGAAGATCATGACCTGTCAGGACGGTGCAGTTCTTTAGTGTTCGTAGTAGTTCCTTCTGTTTCCAGAGCCGTCGCTTGCTCTAGGATATATATCGTCTCATCAGCAATCGTCACGGTTATCGATCATTGATGGCCCATTGTCTTGTTATCCTTCAGCACCCCACTCCGCATTGAGTTCATTGTCATCGTACCTTTGCTAAAATCTTCTTCGTAGAATACGAGTGCCAAATTAGGTTAAGACCTCCAAATTACGTCCCCCCAGTCCCTAAGCCAAATATCCTAGACAATGCAACAAGGAACGATTCCTCTCCTCCCAGGAATCAAAACCACCTACCAAGTTATAATACCCCTAGAAACTAGCTTAAGAGACCTCACCGATCGGGATAAGATCACAAATACTACTTCGGGATGATTGGAGGAGGCAAAAAGCCCCTCAAAATCTGCCCCAGGTAAGTAAATAACCACGAGACCCTAGTGCTCAAAAGGCGACTATGACACGATTCAAATCACTAGCATCCCCTCATACATGCCACTCTGCACAGTTCAAACCTTGCAGCATAGCCCATGCCGCCCTACAAAAACATCCAACGTTTAAAGAAAGCCCAATTACTCACCGAAATCGAAAACGTCCCCGAGTTATAACCGCCAGCGGCAACGCAAAAAATACTCCCCTCTAAAAGCCTTGACGATAGGAGAATTCTCTTGATAGCTATTACTCATAAATCAAATACCCCTAGAAGACAGGATCGCCAATGGTGCTGAGAGATTGTGAGAAGTAATCTCCAAACACCACAAGGTATGGTGGTTGGCCGTTTGTGCAATGGTAAAGGTCGGGGACAAACTTTCGATCCCGATGAGTAGTTCAAGGGACTCCCAAAGATACAGCCCCCCACCGCATACGTACCTCTCCACACTCTATCACGAAGCCTCAAGCCTCAAACTTCCTCGGGGTTTCAGAAGAAAAATTCTCCCCATTAACCTGAATTTCAGAACTCGTAATAGAGTTTTCAATGCTACTCTCTGCTCCTGCATTCGTTCTCTGCCTGGCCATCGCTATCTGCGGTGTCATCACCTATTCCTCCTTGAAAGCATGACATATCCTAGGTAAGTTGCACAATATCTGACTCTAGCTTCCGTTCGTTAGCCTCCGGCTAGCTAACCACTCAAAGCCAAGGGAGAATCCACGACCCTCCACATTCTCCCACCGATTCAAACCTTAAAGTAGAGCAACCTAGCCTTACCAATCATTAATTTCCAAGCTAACGCAGTATACCACACGTGAGTAACACTCCGGGAACTAGTCCGGCTTTTCGGTTGCAGTAGTGACTAGTAATCATACCCTCAATCAGAGTCATTGGAACCTTCCGACGTTTTCTATTAGCTGAAGATAGCCTTGCAGGGAAATTTCCACAGTAAACCCGTGGCAATGACCTTGACACGGTCGTGAGCCTTACGCGTACCAGGTGCCATCAACCCATTTGTCTTACTACGTAATGCTTTGTGCTCAAAGCATAGCGCCCCAAGGCGGATATACCTTTCACAGTATGGCTAAAGTCGGATCATCTGCGGATCCTGACAACGGTTATGGCATCTGGGTTACCGACAGAGCTATCCATGGTTTGTGACTCCATTTCAACCCCAACATCTGCAAAGTCCAATATCGATGAACCCGGTAAGTCTACAAACGCGATGGCCCACTCCCCCTCTCACTGTCCCCTCGCTTACTGTAATCGCTAATATAGTACTTGTACTATTAACCCTCCCCCCAGGAACCGTCCGGTCTGGAAACATGGGGCATCGGGACCGTTTTGAAAGCCCCGCAGCAAGTTTCAAAAAACCCCGCCAACCAAGCGCCCGGGAATTGCTTGATCAGGGTTTCTCGACAATAGAAGAGTACTCCCCGAAACGCCTACCTCTCTCGCTTAACCAATGTTTTGCCGGCACCAACTTTCTCCCTGAATCAGCTCAATTCCCGCAATTTTACCCTGAATCACCCAAGTTAAGGTTTCGCGTAATCATACCAGAAATAGGACCCCATCAGGGCCCTACAAGTCCTCCTCATGTACCAGTACCCGAATCCGGCATGAAGTATCTGCGGGTGAGACGCCGTTTTTTTTGCTGGAAGAGGGGCTAAGTAACGTTAGCAGTGCTTTCAAATGCTTATCAACGAATACTTGTACGAGTAAAAAGTAGTAGTAGAACCAGAACAGCAGGGGCAAATTGCGCCCATACTAAATGCAGGGAAGATGTTCAAGTTCGTCATGCTAGGAACACGTACCTTACTCCATTCCCTCGAGTTCACAAGTCCTCTTATCCTGAGCGAGAAAGCCCTTCCGATCTGCTTGGTGAGAGATATCGCTCATGAAGCAAATATCTCTAGAACCCAGTGACTCTTGTAATGCCCCTGGAGATTATGAGAAATAAGTACGTACAATTCTTACAACTGAGGCGCGTTGGAGCGGTTGTTCGCACGTGCATTGGTAAACATCGGATAGACTTCCGATTTCGGTAACGGAGTCAACCTATGACCCTCAGATTAGCACTCGCACTGTACTCGTACGAGCACGCATTGTCACCCAGTTCCTTTCAGCCACACCGCGCGACCCAAACCAAACAACCAACGATACCAAGTTGAAACCCCTCAACTCCTAAGAAGGCCCGCAGCAGGTACTCCCGCCCCGTCTCACGCACTTCATCTCACTGTTATTGGTGCTAGCGATGCCCGATCACTCACTACTGTCTGCTCAAAGCGAGAGAAAGTATTAAGGCCGCCCTCAGCGTCCGAATTTCGATTTTCCGTGATCGCCCGCTACCAATCACCCTACGCGCGATCCAGCTAATCGTAATAGGTTACCGAGGATCGGTCGCTTCCACAGGCGCGATTAGCGAGTTAAGAAGAAAAGGAAAGAAGCTCTAGCGTTTCCCCAGCGCATTGTCTAGGGTACCAGTACTGGAAAACACGGACAACCCCCCCCCACCCCCCACCCTTTCCCGGTTCGGCCTCGAGAGGCTCAGAAACCTAGAAACCCGTACATGGTGATCGACCAACCCCAAGGCGATAATCCTCGAGACATTAGGTCCCATACGTGTGATCCCAGTTTCCTGCAACGACCACGAGCCAACCTAGAAAGCTAAAGGCTCCTTCCCTCTGCAGGGATAGTCCGTCTCCCAGATCCCTAATCCGAGGTCCAGATTTTTCTAAGTTCCTAAGGAAAGCCCCGCACTCCCGAACATGAGCGCACGCTCGCGGCACTGGTGCCCATGAGGACCGGTACAGTACCATCGATTAACCCGGCTCGTCAAAAGAGATCTAACCAGCCCGCTCTCCCACAAGAAATCGTACTACACCGTACAGGTGATGAGTCCTATACATAGTCACAACGATACCGGTAAGCTTACTCTCAGTATTCTTATAGGGGTCTTTCTCGCACGAGAGACAAGGGCCCGGCTGCCATTACTCTTCGGAACAAAAAATTCCGGGCGCAGGTCGCGGCCGCAGCGACAGAGGAGACGGTTAAACTCAAACGGTTGGTGGGAAGAGGCACCGGCGAACTGGTCCATCCCCATCCCAGCAGAATATGATATAAGGACGAAAATGCACCGCAGGGGGATCCATCGGTCGACTTATAGAGTTTTATCTAAGGGTTCCCCATGAATTCCATGCACCCGGATTGTGGCTATGGACCCATTCTTCGTGTTCGCGACACTTACTGTAGCACGCTGAAATCTATTTCCGAACGTTTTTACGCGCCACTTCTCCAGCCGGATAGAAAACTTCAAGCATAAAATACATTCCATCTAATAATAGACTTAGTCCACCGCCACGTACAACGCGAGACGTCCCGAGCGTGGAATGCCTTTTTTTTATTTTATTTCGCAAATTAAGCTAAGGTACTGCACCCCGCTGTCCCGTATGATTCTCTAACTCGGAATTTTTCTCGACCAAAGCCCCACCCGCTGCCCCGGATCCCTCGCTGCACCGGACAATTTCTTCGGATTTTGGCCGCCCGGGATAGCGAGGTGCGACTGTACTGTACTCAATTACCGTACAGGTGCGAGTGCTTGTATATGACCAGTGCCTTCCCTGGGTCACAGCCCTCGCCCTCGGGGGAGGCCCAATTGGAAGTGACCTAAGCGAAAGAGGCAATACAAAAACAAATAATAATGAAACAAGTCATCCCCGAAAGCAGCGTTTTCGTGCATCCTCTAATGTCAAACTAACGAAACTGGATCTCAAATTTGTTCCCCTCCTGTACGGTGCAATTAGAGCACTTGTAGTTGTGCTCTCTTGCATATCCTGTAGGTCAGGCGTTTTCAAACAACTGGTTTCAAAGTAGAATGATGCTAGTTTTTTTTTTCGTGCAATACAAGTAGGGCACTAGCTACAGCAGCAGGTCTCCAGCTGATGGTCTCCCATATTCCGCAATGCTCTACCACAACATCCGGAATGCCTGGTACAACTTTGAGTATATGAGGGGTGGTGCTGGTGGCGGTTAGCCCCCACTGATCCCTTGAGACACCGATCTCAGAGTGCCGGTAAATATCGTGATGGTCCCCCACGGTACGGTATTACAATGAATCACTCCCGAAAACTGTGAGGGGTCCGTTTGGCTCGCCGTCTATTGAGCCATTTTTCCTCCATTCAAAACGCGCCAATAATTGGTCCAATATGCCATTGAACATGCCCTACCACCTCATAACAAAATCCTGTGGCCCTCCATATCGATCCAGGATTCGTCCCGAAACGACTGCTGACTCAACCGAGGGCGAGCCAAACAGAGTCCGAATTCTGCAGGCACACCGAGCGGTAGAGATATGTCTCCAGTCCCTCCTTCACCGTTCCCGTATCCAATCCATCATATCCCATACAAAAGGCTCCTCTCAAAGTCTATGAGGAATTTCGAGTTCTAGCATGAAAAACCAAGACTATCCTATCATACAGCGAGGCATTAATCTGAACCCTTCTTGTCTGTATTGCGATGCCCGGCGCTATATTCTAATACCGTAGTGATACAAACTCAAGTCTCAGGATGCAGTGGTAGAAATGCCGACGTCGATTGCCTCGAGCCACCAATCCCCCCACCCAGCACTCCTCAATCCTGCGTCCCATTGTAAGACTCTTTCTTCCCCTTCTTATCGGTATCATCCCAAAGGCTGTATTCGACCTCGAATCTTCCGACGCTTAATCGGAGTTTCTTCCTCTTTCTGCTTTTGCCCGGGACGATAAGCCATGGGTCGCGAATGGTTTCCCCGACCGAGCTTTCAAAGGTAGCGAGCGTAAAAACGGTTTCCGCCGGAATTTTCCATGTGTCATCATATATGTGTCGCCTGACTGGAGGATCCTGTGGTGGGGATGAAGGTCAAAAAAAAAAAAAGGTACAAGGTTAGGCGATATTGCCATGCGGAGGCACAGACGATCCTGGGTAAGGCTGGGGCTCTCGGTAAGGAGAGACAGTTTCTTTCCAAGAAGGGAGTCCAAATATTGTAATTCAACAGTATGGTAGGACCAGAAATCTGGTAATTGGTAACCGTATGAGTCCATTTGTAGATAAGACAGTTTCACTAGCGGAGAATCCTCCAGAAGAACAACTGCTCGCCCCGACCACTGTTCACATTTAATCCTCAAGCACACCTAATTTATTCGCGCACTCTCTCAATGCGGCAGGAGTGGAAAGCCTAATCCAATTATGCCAGTCACTCGATAAAACACCAAATTTCCAACCACCAGTCTTAAGAGCTCGTCCGTTGCCGGCAGTGCCAACCGGCAGAGAATTGCCCAGCGCCAAAGTTGACCCCGCCGGGGATCGCCTACAACATCCCATTCAGCGCATACCAGAGCTCAGAGCTCTCCGAATTTTTCGCTTCCAAGGCGCATTCTCGACGTGGTATTTGGCCCGCTTATTACCAACCATGCGCACAGGGGGGGTTGGTTGCCTTCCTCCCAAGTTCCGCCCTGGAAACTTCCAGATCATTAGTGCTCGCCCAGCACTGGCCAGCGCGCAGTCCCCGCTTCAAGTAAGCGCAGGCTGGGGTGAATGAAAAAATAGTAACTCCCCCCCCAAAAGCTCAGCTAGCAAGTACACCCTTGATTGGGCACAAGCACTGCCGGAAGCTTAATAATTCCACAACCCCTTGGGCACAGTCCGACTGATATCAAAGGAACAGTACCGATCGACCCGAGTATCATATCAGACGTCGGGAATTTCCCGCACCCTCCCTTCAGTTGTACGTACCTACACGCGTGATATCCCACAGCACTGGATGACGGAGCAGCCCCCCCCCAGCGGCTCACACAACTGCGCTTCCTGGTTCCCTGTCATGTTTTCCTACCGCGCTAGAGTACTACTGTACTCGACTACTGCCTAAGACTTGGCGCCCAGCTTTTTCAATCCAGGCCATTTTGTAAATTCCTACGCTGATTGGTATTCCTCCCCCCCCCCCTTCGGGGATTTTAATAGCTTTTGCCCTCAAACAAAAGTATTACATCATGTGAAAACATACGGTAAAACACGAGCACAGTATCGCCCACCCCCCCCGGAAATAGGTAGGATGAGCCAATCATATCGAACCGAGAGGCTCAAAAGAGCCTCAGGAACTCAATAAATGATCGACAAGGAAGAGCGTTGGATCGTGGCGCCGCCCAGCTCTTGCGGCTGACCTTTCCCTCGCGTAGATTTGTTAAGCGCCTAACAAACAGGGGCTGCGCATCCATCCCCCGGGGATCTAGCCCTCATCAGGCCAAAGTCGAACCAACGGTTTTGGGGAACCCTCGCCGTCATACCCAGTGCTAGGGACGTTGGAATCTACCAAGCGGGCACGATAAGGTACCGTACAGATGTCCCTATGTCGTGAAGGAGGGAAGGAGAAGAAAAAAAAAAGAAAAAAAAAGAGGGAGAACGCCCTCCCTTTAAGAGGCCCGCGTTGTGCAGCCCACTCAGGGCTTTTGGGCATGAAAAAAGTTTCAATGTCCCGGCGTGCACGCAAGTCTTGGACCAATGATGATACACGTCATTTTCAGGTAAGAATATAGTATTAAAGCTCAGACAATTATAAGTTAAAGTACAATGTGTATTGGTTGAAAAGATAAGAAAAGGAGATCAGCCAGTCCAGGAAAAGTAAAAGAAATATTGGGCAATAAGGGCATTCAGCTGTAAAAAGAATAAAAATACCACCGGAACACCGGGCCATCTAAAAGGATCAAAGGGAAAGAAATCTGAATCTAAGTCTAAAGAAATAAAAAGCATAAAGGGTGATAGGGGAGGGGGAAAAACTCTAAATGAGATAGAATGAAACATCTAATAGGACTCCATAATGAATGGTATCAGGGACACATGAGAAACACTAGACTCCAGAATAAGAAAAGAAGGAGGTGCAAAAAAATCAGGAATTCAAGGCAACACAAGGGTACCTAGAGGTAGCTTGCCCACTCATTGGCAGAACCCCCCACAGGCCCCTACTAGAGACAGATATGGTGAAATAAAGAAACCTCGCCAAGTTTAGCTGGGATAGCATTCCCTCGACCTTAGTGAATTGTGCAATTAGAAATCCGGTGGGGGCTCCGGTCAGTGTCGTGGGTATGCTTGGTTTGTTCTCCAAAAAGACGGAAAAAGGCAATTATTCCTGTCCAAGGTGTCTATGGATGTCGGAATGCTCGAAGTCAGAATGTGTTGCCAACACGTAGCATTGGCCTCTCATTCCCGAGGGGTAGTAGGGGCCGCAGGACGAAATGCCGGGGGATGAGTGGCTAGAGGAACGCCGAGCTGACGATGAAGTGTATCCATTATACTGGTCCGGAAGTCCTTTATTGCTTGAGGTGCTCCATCTGGAAGCGCGATGATACTCGTTATATCGGCACTCGGGGTGGCCGCAGTACCCCCCTTGCGTGCCTCTTTCATACCTCGAATCACCACTACAATTTCCATCACCTCCTATGAGAGTATCAATGTTAGCTCAAGCCAATGTAAGCCGACTTCAAAAGTATCTGGAAATCGTTCTGCCAAGACTCGCAAATTCGGGTGTGATTTCCATAGCCTCGGCATCCAGATTCCTAGATAGTTTTGAAGTGGGGGGGGGGAAGACCCGTGGTATCTAGGGAAAGAGTAGGGGATTCACCTTGTGAACATTTGAATACAGTAAAAACCCTCTCACAGCCACAACCCGTCCACTTCACCACCTTGAAATGGCACATCACTTTATTCGGTTGCTTTTAGTGGTTGTGGTTTTGGGGGTTGGGATATGTTGAAATGGTGGCCTCGATGGTGGTATCCACGGTATATAAAACTTGTCAAATTTTGCGTGTGGGGCGGGAATTAAAGATTCAATCCGGGACGGAAAAGCGTATACAAATGAAATTGAGCTTCGGATGAGTCGAGTAGAAGTTAGGGGGTCTGTCTCGTTCTTGTATAGTCTGTTGATCTGTCTGGGAATGAGAATATGGCCGCGGGGAAACTTGGCCTTTAATATACCCACTTGTGAAGGCCCTTTTCATCCCTAATCCAGCAAACACCGTTTGCAAGGCCTCGCAAATGGTAGTGTTTTGGGACGCGGCTTTAGTTGCCAATATTGACAGGTTCCCAGAGTGAAGGGTAGGACTGCGGGCTATGAGTAGATCTCCTCATTCCCCGGGCGTGGATGGGTGGATGAGCCTTACCACCTATTCTCTAGAAGTTGCTAGTCTGGATGTCTAACAAACAACGTTGAAATTCTCGCTCCGGATCGATCGACCCAAGGATTTTTTTTTTTCCGGTCCAGCCAAAAGGCCTCTCTACAGAGCCGCTATTAGGTAGCCCAAATCAACCTCCT